TGCACATGTTTGCACCCTTAGTTCTTATCCGTTTGTGGAGCATAGTCGTTTATTTTTGGCCTATTTTACACCGGGTTGTGCTACTTTGTCACATTTCAGGTCCCGGACGTCGAAGGAAAAGCTAAGCACGAGTTTCGGGGCATTTGGAAGTCATTCGGTCGAGCTGGAGCCAAAGCACGGGCGCGCCTAATTCAAAGCACGGCCGTGTTCCTGGCCCGTGCTTTTACTGCCGAGGCTGTCTCCACAATTGTCCTACACCAGCTCAAAACACGGGCGGGACTGACCAAAACACGGCTGTGTCCTTCATCAAACACACCCGTGTTTTCCCAGGGCAGTGACCGTGTTTTTAACACGTGACAAAGGGCACGGGCGGGCTGGAGCAAAGCACGGTCGTGCCATCGACCGTGTTTTGCCCAGTGATGCCCTTTTAGGCAAATTTCAGCCAAAAGAGAGGAGGATTCGAGTTTCTAGAGCAAAAACAGAGTTTTAGAGAGAGAAAGAGCGAAGAACAAACCCTAGGAGCTATTTGGAGTGGATTTCTCACCATTGAAGCCCAGATTGCGTCCACAGGAGTGAAGATTGACATCCCAGAGCAGATTTTCCTCATCTTTATGAGTATGACTACTCTGATTTCTGTTTTCCTTTCTCTCTCTATGGAGTAGAACCTTTCTCTCACTTGGGTATGAAGAACCCTAGTTCCTTGTGTTAGGGATTTGATTGTAATGACTTGGGATGATTATACTGTTTGGTTTTAATCGAATGATGCATGTTTATTGAATTGATTGAAGTCTGATCAGCTTTTCTTGATTTCTGCTGCAACCTGAGATAGATAGAATCTGATTAGGTTGTTAGAGCCTCTTCATTCGATAGTAGGAGATTGGTTATACGAGAGTTAGCCAGTTTACAGCTTGTACTGGAATTCAATCCCAGTAGTGGAGTTTTGTGCTTATTGCTTCAGCTTTCTATCCCGGTGAAGACTAGTCGTCTGCCGGGTAGTTAGACTGAGAGGGCTTGGTCAGCTTAAGAGACTCCAAGCTGCTGTCGGATCTTCGGCAGTCTAATCAACAGTGAATCAACCCAGGGTAATTACAATTGAACCTAACTAAGGAGCTAGTGGGACTCATTCCCGAGTGACTCTTTCCTGCTTTAGAAAACCGAACAATTTCCTGCTTTCTTACTGCTTTTGCTTTAAACAACAATCACTCGACTTAGTTGGCTAGATAATAGATGATCACGGAGTAAGCAGTAGATCTAGACCCCGGGTTGATAATAGAAATTGCCTGTTACTGCATTCCCGGACTGCGATTATACTTGGTCGCAGTTTGGTGTTGTGTTTTGGGTGTAACACTACTAGTGTTGCTAATGTCATATGGGAAGAACAACAAGGAATTAAGAACCAACATAATTAATTCACTAGTTTTTTACCCGGCCCGCTGGCCGGAAAATTTCATTTCATCATTTATAGAAATTAATTTCTTTATTTAAAACTTTTTTAATCTTCTAACTTTTTTATGCTAAGACTTCATAAAATCCTAATAAAGTTTAGCATCTGGTTTTCACTCATTGGGCCCATATTAGATATTGAGTAGTCGGGGGCTCCATAATTTTGACAACTTATTCATAATTAGCCCACTTTAACAAATAACTAATATAATTATTTATCCATAAACCACAGCCCACATTACGTGGAACATATATTTCCATCAACTTCTTCTTTTGTCTTCGATTGCTCATTGTTAGCAAAGAGCCAAACACTTTTTCATCCGGGTCATGGTATTGGAAAGTGGAATCTGCATCAGGTAATCTTGGACCATAATATTTTTGGGAGAAGATTTGTTATCCCTCTTTTATCTCATTTGGATAGATATTTTCAGTTGGCCCAAAAAGATCCCATCAGTGCATAAACCAGTTGGGGAAAATTGATTCGGGTCTAATTATACATATTTTACTCCTCATTTCTTGATAGTTTGACTTTGCAAATCATCGTCTCCCGGCCTATTTTACGCTAGGTTGCGCTATTTTTGTTACATCTCAGGTCATAGCACGTGTGAAAAGGTTGAGGACGAGTTTCGGGATGATTGGAGTTGAAAAGCGTCAAAAAGTGAAGAAAAGTCAGAAGCCACGGTTTGAACGTGAATGTCACGGTCTTGAGGTCCTGACAATTGCAAGACGAGCGTGAAGATTGTTGAGGAACATAAGATTGTGTACGTCTCACGGGCCTAAAGGTTGTCATGGTCACCAGACGTGACAATTGCTAGTGTAAATCGGGAGCGTGAAGATTGCCGAGGAACAAAAGATCGTGTACGTCTCGCAGGCCTAAAAGTTATCACGGTTACCAGACCGTGAAGTCGGACGAAAACGACATCACCGTCCTGCGTTTTTGGATGATGTCACGGTCGGAGGTCTGATGTCACGACCGTGACATTCTACCCGTGATTGTGACTTTCAGGATGTATAAATAGAAGGCACTCAAGGAAGCCAGGAGAGAGAGAGGTGAGAGCTTGGTTGGGTTTTAGATTTTTTGGGTTCCCTTCTAGGGTTCCAACTGAAAAATCCTAAAAGGAGAGAGCCTAGTGAGATATTATAATCTTCTTTTGATTTTAGAGAGAGAAACTGACGAACCAAGAGAGAAGAAGAGGTCTAGGGTTTGCTCCAAACTAGAGGATTGGAGATTTTTATTCCAAAGGTGATTCCGACAACAATGAAGGAAGTCAAACACAACACCATTGTTCTTTCTCTACTCTTTGTTGTAATCCCTAGTTTAGCTATGGAGTAGTGCTCTTTTTCACTTGAGTATTGTGAACCCTATCCTAGAAATGTAGTAGGTTGTTGGATGTGAACTCTATGTCTGTTGATTGTGTGTTTTAATATAATGCTCCATATCTCATTTGAGCAAATTGATCTAGAAGGAGGAAATCCTCTCCTTGCCAACTTCTTGGCAAAATGGGGTAACCCCTTCTAGGGCAATTAAAGACACACCTCAATCATTGATTTAGCGTCACGATTGTGTTTTATCACTTAATCGTCGTTCTGGACTAACCTCCGAGGGATTGGTTACCAATCCTTAACCGACTGATTGAGAGAGTTAGGTTTTCTAGCTTTATTGTTTTTCCTTAATCGATTGCATAAGAGAGTGGAATTCTCCACTAGTTGCATCATCCTCACGTTATAAGAACACACTTTTTTGTATTAGGGTTCTGGTTTTGCAACTTGATACAAGGCTACGGGGAGCAATACCCCGGGTGAAGTTTTCTCATATAGAATCCACAACAATTTGAATTCTTGCTTGCTTTAAATTGTAGCTCTTAGTTTTTACCAAAAAATTATTGCTAGATAACGTTTTAAACGGTTGAAGTAGGAGTACATGGACCGGTCCGAGTTGACATTTTAAAACGCTTACCCTATACTACACCCTACTAGAGTTTACACTTGGGCTCGAGTTGGGATTTCATTCGTAGTTAGGAACGAGTCAAAAATAATAAGAATTTTGTAATAAAAAAAAACTCCAGGAGTGTCGGTACATATGGTTTTGCTTGAAGAAGACACTGATCCAAGCATCGTGGTAATTCCAATAATTGAAAGATTGGCATATTTATGGGTGGTTAAGGGCAATAGTAACGGATAATTTTTGGACGGTGTTTGGGCTAGTATGCCATTGGCGAGTGTGACTAATTTGGTGGATTTTGCAGGTTGAGTGGGTATTGAGTGTTTTGTCCGAAGGTGACTGATCCAGTTTATGTGAGGATAAGTTCATAATATTTGTGAGTTTTGTTGAGAGATATTGGTTTGAAGAACCACTTATTGAGGAAGTGTTTGGCAGTAACATTTTGGAATTGATGGTAGAAACCATCTTCGACAATGAAAAATGGGTTGAAAAGTGGTTTTCTTAACATACGTTTTAAATCGATTTTGAAGGACTTGCACAACCATCACCTCTTGGATTTTGGGAAAAACAGTTTTGAGAGGGGCTATCGAAGATGCCACATCTATTGAGGTAGGTGCGACATCAAGATGATGTTGCTGTTAGATTTGTTTGGTTTATTTTTAAGAAATGGGTGTGGGTAGGATGCCAACTGGCATTTGAGTATTTGAAAGAAATAGTTTAGAAGGGGAAATCGTTGAGGAAGTTGAAGTTTTAGTAGGAAGTTTTTGTTTAATCCTTGAAACGGGAATAAATTTCTCAAACTCATATAAACTTCACCCATACCCTAACCATAATAAATTAGTCTATTTTTGTTTGGGTTAAATTACCCATAGGTGGGTATTGCCATCCCTAAGTATAAGATAATAATGTAAGAGATGAATTTGGAGGAAAGTGGGGACCTTATATTTTTTTTGTGAAAGAGATGGAACATTATTAGTAGTCTCAGCATTATTAATTACTAACAGTATATAACATAGTTGTCATGTAGGCGGCATTCGTATTTTATTTATGTATGAATATAAAGTAAATTATTTTGAAATATGTTTTACATATTATTAAATTCATCTTGATGTTAATGGGTTTTTATATTGTTATATATTTTGATAAATCGGCATGAACCAATCCAAATAAGTTGTACCATTCCACTTATTAAACTGGCGCAACGGTGTAAACCGGTTGAAACCCTTGATATATGAGCATTAAATTAGTATTATATGTTATTGTAGCTCTTTTGATTTGATAATCTTATAATACATGATTTTTTATTTAAAATTATAATGCATAATAGCTAATTATGACAGCAAACAATATTAGATAATATACCTGTAGAGAGAACGCGGTAACAAAAAAAATGCATTGGGAATTTCATAAGAATTGCAATGTTCGTAAAATTAACTTCATAAGGTACATTTTCCAAATTTGACATTTTTAGGGGTTATGGTTCGATTTTTAACCGGCCCAATAGCAGCCCAAAATAAAAATATGTGTTTTATGTAAGAGCCCATACCATAAATTGTATAGACTTGCTAAATCATAATGAAAAGCCCCCCTCTGTCCTTCTTCAAATCCAATTTCCAACGGTCGTGATTCGTGAGCCTCTGCAGCAACAAGAAATCAGCAAGAAATCAGCAAGAAATTGAGAGAGCTTCAATCAAGAATTCAAGATGCTACATTCGCCTGATGAACCCAGACAAGGGAAAGTTCTACGCAGGGGAAACGGGGAAGATGAAAGACCAGACCGATTGAGTGATCTCCCAGAACCAGTTCTTGAATGCATACTGGGTAAATTGGAGTCTACCAGACTGGCAGCCCAGACTTCAGTTCTCTCGCGTGCTTGGAAAGAGATTTGGTGCAAGGTTCAACGAATCAGCCTAGATTCAGACGAATTTCTGGATCAGTCGAAATTTGCCCGGTACGTCCACGGCGTGATCTCTGGCCACAGTGGAAGCTCGGTAGACCTAATTCTCTATCGGGACAACAATTCCCCCCTGGACGGGAGACTTCTGGAGGAGGTGATTTCTTTTGCTGTATCTTCTGGATGCCGGACCCTGTTCATAAGAGTGCGTATCGGTGGAACTATGCAGTCAAGTTTACTTACACCGCTCTCTGGTACTTGGTTTACTTCTCTAGAGCTTCGTGGGCTGTTTCTGGACGATGGATTCGGTTCTTGTACATTCCAAAATCTTGTCTTTTTGAGATTAGAAAATTGCTTGCTGCCACGTAGTAGTAGTACCAAGGGAGGTAAAGTAGATGACTTTACCCAGTTACCCTCTTTGGAGAGTTTACATTTGTGGGGCTGTGCTTTCGAGAACACCAATACTTGTTTGAAGATCACTGGACCGAAATTGGTAGAGCTGGAAATCCTTGATATAAGCTGCTTGAAAGTGGAAGTGGTGGCACCAAACCTCAAGAAATATTATGAGTTGGAAGCAATGGACCCACCGAGATCATACGAGTTCAGTGTTCCTTCACTGATTGATTCTACGGTTAGCGTCAGAAGTGGTTGTTTTGACAACATGAGCGGGGAGCAAATTTTGAGTTGGTGCTTCAGCATCTTTAATGAACTCCACAGTACACATAAACTCACTTGAACTTTAGACTACTTGAGGTAGGTCTCTTTCAGTGTTCAACTTATCACTTTGAGTGTTCAACTTATCACTTTAAAGTTACTAATTGGTTTTCCCACTCATTGTGCAGGCTCTTTGCCAGAATTGGCATCTTCTGGAGGGTCGTTCTTCTCCATTTAGAAGCCTGCAAAATATGAAAGTCTCACAATACAGATCACGCTCCCAGATTCCTTACCCAGTGATGAGTTATTTCCTCCAAGCTTCAGAGGGAAAAGGAAAACCAGCAACCATGGAGTTTGAATGTAAGTACATCATCCATAAAAATCAGCTTAGCAGTGGGATTGAATTTGGGAAATAATAATGTTGGTGGTTAGAGAAATTGGGTTCTTTGCCATGTTGAGTTAATGTTTGAGATGACCTGATATGATTTTATATGTCAACAGGAACAGAGTTTTGATATAGTGCTGTGGCAGAATTTTATATGTCAACAGGAACAGAGTTTTGATATAGTGCTGTGGCAGAATTTTGAAGGAGTTAGTGATAGAAATGGTAAGTACATCATCCATAAAAATCAGCTTAGCAGTGGGATTGAATTTGGGAAATAATAATGTTGGTGGTTAGAGAAGTTGGGTTCTTTGCCATGTTGAGTTAATGTTTGAGATGACCTGATAAGATTTTATATGTCAACAGGAACAGAGTTTTGATATAGTGCTGTGGCAGAATTTTGAAGGAGTTAGTGATAGAAATGGTAATGGGCTCAATTTTGGTGAAGTGGATATAGAAGAGGCTTGCTGTGTTGAAGGACAAGTCTGATCTTTTGTAACCTTGGAGCTAAGCACTTAGTCTGATCTTTTGTCCCTTCCAAAGGAAAATAAAGCTTCACTCTCAGGTAATTCTTAGCTGACATGGTGGGCCATACTCTTAGCAGCATACAATCTTGCTTTTACTGCAATTGTATTCAGAAAATCATGTCATTAGTTGGAACCATCAACAACCTATGAGCTCCAATCAGAGGGTACTTACTTTTGGCTTCCTGCTGCTGTCCTCTTAAGTATCCAAATTACAGTTACCATAGAGACTAAATCAAAGGCTCTCAATGTAGAAACCAAATTGGCTGCAAACTGAAAATTTTTATTGAAATGCAAAAACAGAACCTTAAATACAAACTCAGACTACTGACAAAATTCTAAATCCTGCTCCACTAACAGCTAGCTCTAACCTGTTTTACCCGGACACCCACAAACCCCTAAACCAACGACAACGTGAGTTTTGACTGTTACCAAATTCTCCCCTAAACTGAAACTTTGCCACTTTCAGTTTAATTACGAGACATCATCACATTTTTCCAGTAGCCATAATGGCTGCAACTTCAGAATTCACAGTAGCTCTTTAGAATTTGCAGCAACAATTCCAGCTTGATCTTCACAAGAGAACCCTCTTCTCACAATCACACCTCACCATGTATCCTTTCATACTTCCACAAGCGCCACTGCTTTTAATAGGATAAACATTATGTTCTTCGTGACTCCTAACAAAAGTCAGATTAGTCAAGAAAGAAAAAACTGATATCAATAGTCCCTCTTTGTCCATGTAATCTGGTCCCTCCAACCACTTTCATGCCCATTTGGTCTTGAGCCCTTCTCAACCAGACACATTTTTCAGTACGATAAGCTGCTGGAAACTATGTGTTTATGATGGACAAATTCGCCACTCGCTTTCCATTTGAAACAGAAGAATCAACATCTCCAGGTAAGTAAAATGCAAATAAGCTTGGATTCTTCCAATCTATCACATCATTCTGTAAAACACACTCAGCAAACACATCCTCGCCACCACTGTTATAGAAGCTTTTTGACCGTTTCAATTTCCCAAACCTCTTGTCACAAATGCCACTTGCCATGTATTTATAGAGCGAGCTTGCAGCATACCAGATTCCAGTTAGGTGGCTAAACACTCCTGTAATACTCTTGTCAAACCAAGTTGGGTAATCCGTGTAGCTATGATCATGCCACACCAAATGCATAACATCTGATCTTGCTGTATTGAGGTACAAGTTGCAAGTTATTTCTGCACATTCAGTTGACCTCTCTTCAGTTGAATGCTGCTGGAACTCATCTTTAACTGACGAAAGTTTTTCCCGATGAGAGATGCAATTCCTGACAAAACAACAGTAAGGCAACTGAAACCACACAAGAAGCTGATTTCCATGCTGCTTCATTTCTTTCATCAAGTTACGATACCAAATTCTTGCTGCCTGCTGCAACTCATACACTCTTGTTGCCTGCTGCACCTTATACCTACCGGCCATGCAAACAGAATACCAGATTAGCTCTAACCCTTCAACACTGTGAACCCCCACAACTCCTTGGAAATATCTCATCAATCTAAACATATTCACAAGCTGTATAGCCTGTATAAATTCTTTGAACACTCTGAATGCTAGAACGACTTGTACCTTATCATCCCTTTGCATTGTTGTTGGACCATCATGCTTCACATACACAGATCCATTATGCCAAATATTCTGATTTTCCACTTCAACATCAATTGTAAGATGCTGCACTTCAGTTTGGGAATGTAATTCTCCTACGGATATTCCTGCTGCTCATGTTGTGACTTCAGCTGTTGAATCTTTCTTTTGTACTTCTTGATCAATAAAGCTTCCATCTACTTCAAATATGCTACCATTTTCCTGGTTCACAGTGCACCTGAAACTGGAATCTAGAGTTGTGAACCGCTTCTTAATATCACCCATGTGATTACTACAGCCAACATTTAAGGACCATTGCATTTCATTGCTCTCCAACACTTGATCTTCTATAAAATCCATCTTAATGTAGTTATCACCATCTGATACATTCTCCTCCACTTCATTTGTTCTCTCCAGCATGTTATCTTCCATAAACATTGTACTGTAATTATCGCCATCTTCTACATCATCTTCTATGGCATCTGCTGTTACATTCTCTTCCTCGACATAGGTCATCAGCATGACATTTTCTTTCATATCAAATTCAGAATTCACATTACAGTAGTGTGCTTGTTGAGTGTACCAAATGGGGCATTCATTTCTGAAATGACCCAACCTATGTCACTTAAAGCACTCTACTGTTTCTTTATTCCAGATTCTACCATCTCTGACCTGATCCCTTTCTTGAAAAGAGCCTGCAACCGAGCTTTCTGAACTCTGACACTGCCTTGGTATTTAATTTTCATCGAATCGCACAGCGGCACAGGGCCTTAGCGGTATCCTTCTTAGTAATAGTCTTCAGAACGGCCTTGTCGATTGAGCTAAAGAAAAAGTTCTTGGCTTTAAGGTCTTTTAATCTCAAGTCTTCAAGGGTTTTAGTCTGAACTGCAGAAAGAACTGCTCCTGCTGCTGGCTCTGTAAAGCCCTCGTTTACCACTCCCCAATATTCCTCGGACTGAAGCAAATTTTCCATCAAAAGTTTCCAGTAATCATAATCCCAACAAACTTGAGAATAAAAACTGAAGCAAAATAGATGATCTCACCCAAGCCTCTCGTATTTCACTCACACCCAGAAGCAACCCTCACAATCAATTACTCGTTTTCCCAATCTCAATTTGAAAAAACACAGACACTCAATCACACTAAATAAAACGTGGTTACAGTCTGCAGGTCACATATAAACCAAACAACTTATCAAGATGAAATAAAAAACAACAAAACATAAGACATATATGGAATTGTTTAGCTAAAAATTTGCTGATATATTTTGTTGGAAGTACTCGTAAAGAACATAGTTATGGCCATTAACGAGTTCTCTAGCAATCTTGCTGCACTTAATTGCAACAATGAGAAAAGCTTTGGCAGTCTTGCTCCACTTGAATTGCAATAATTGCAAAAGCTTTACAGACATTGTTGATTTTTTCAGAAATAGCGCGGTTTAATTTTTTTATTTTTTTACAAAAATAGCACTCAGTCCCGAAAAATTTCAAAAAAAACATCATTTCTCAAAAACCGCCACCCCATCCCGCATGTTACGGGGCGGTTTTGAAAACCGCTCGGGGTGGGGGTGTTTGATCCAAAACCATTGCCCAACCCTGCGGTTTGATCCATTTTTTTTTCGAAAAATTCTAACCTATGTGGAAACTTCAAATGAATGTATCTTTGTGCTCAGGTATCCGATCATCGCGATTTTTTTTATTTCACATAACTTTTTGAGATCTTGCAAGTCGCAAACCCCCTGGTCCCCCCTCTGTCCCGAAAAAACGCCGTTTGCTACCCCCAACAAGCTTTTTTCGATTTTGTCAAACTTTGGACGACCATAACTTTGTGCTCCAAGATCCGAACGTCATGAATTTTTTTTTTTTCATTTCGCATAACATTTTAAGGACTACAACTTTTATCATAGACATAATTTCAGAATGTACGTGGATTTGTGAAAAGGGAAGGTAAAGGTATTCCCAAAATCCTGTATACTCAATAATAATTCATGTTTTGAAAATTTCTTATTAGTAAAAATTGTAATCCTTCAAAAGTTATGCGAAATGAAGAAAAATCACGACATTCGAATTTTGGAGCATAAAGTTATGGTTGTTCAAAGTTATTGAGGATTTTTAGCGTTCAAGAACTAAAACTTTGTCAATATGCAGTTTGTTTCAACAAAAGAGTTGTAGTTTGGTGGTGTAGATGTTCTGCTAAATTTAGTTAAATATTATATTGTGAGGGTTTGAACCACCACCTCCACAACATGTTGCTTTTTTTAATCCCAACTAAATAAAAAGATTTAATATGGGATGATGCTTGATTCGGGCAAATGTACACATTTTACCCCTCAGTTCTTTTTCGTTTACCTTATTTCATCGTTCCTCGACATATTTCACGCTAGATTGTGCTTGTTTTGATACATTTCAGGTCCTAGCACGTGTGGAAGGGTCGAAAACGGGTTTTGGGATATTTGGAGGTCAAAAAGCGCAAAAACCGAAGAAAAGTTCGAAGTACCGTGACAATTGCCTCGTACAAATGTACACATTTTACCCCTCAGTTCTTTTTCGTTTACCTTAGTATTTCATCGTTCCTCGACATATTTCACACTAGGTTGTGCTTGTTTTGATACATTTCAGGTCCTAGCACGTGTGGAAGGGTCGAAAACGGGTTTTGGGATATTTGGAGGTCAAAAAGCACAAAAAACGAAGAAAAGTTCGAAGTACCGTGACAATTGCCTCGTAACAGTGAAGTGAAGGCGTCCCAGGAAACAGTCGCACTTCACGGCCGGACGAGGCAGTTCACGGTCTCCTTAGACCGTGAACTTCGACCACAAACCGTGAACACCGAGGCATCCAGCGAGGTTCCTGAAGTTACTGACGACAAGGCAGTTCACGGTCTTTAAGACCGTGAATTGTGGCCATTGACCGTGAACCCAGGACAGTCAAGCGGTGCATTTTGGACGACGCTGAGTTCACGGACGCGTTTAGGTAATCACGACCGTTAACTGCCAACGTGTCCGTGAACTGGTCACTTTCGGGCAAATATGAAGACAACAGCGGAGAGAGAGAGAAAGAGAGCTGGTTTTTTGAGAAGAAACACTTCCTTTCTCTAGGGTTTCAACCTAAACACCAAAGGGGAGTTCTAGTGAGAGAGAGAGAGAGAGAGAGTGTGTGTGTGTTAGAGTGATCTTCGAGCATCATTGGAGGCTTGGGTGGGAGATTCAAGTCTAGAAGAAGAAGAATAAGAAGATCTTGAGCTCAAATTTGTAACCCCTCTCTCTCTAGAAACCCACTCTTTTCTCTTTGGGTGTTGTAGATCCCTAACTAATACTTTGTAATTACTTGTTTAGATTGAATGATTGTCATTGGGTAGTGTTTAATTCAAGAATTGAGGTATTATTCATGTTGATTGTGCATGCTCGTGCTTAGCACCCTTACGATTGTGCATAATTGTGCTTAGCATCCTTAGGTCAACCCGCAAAAGCAATTCTCTATCTAGCCATTAAGAAAGTTGATTAACATTTATAATAAGTTAATAGCAAATTAGTAAGACTATATCAATAATTTGTGATTTTGATACAATTGATAATTTATAGTTTGCATCTCAATATTTAATGGTTATTA